TGGTCGATGATGGCTCGTTTAAATCTGCCACTGTCACTTATATATTTGCTTCCAGTTAATTTTACTGAAATAAATGAAGATACATGCTTGAGTTAGTACTGTATGACCACTTCCTAGGAATAAGACCTTGAAAAAAGGTGTTACACATATATACGAAGGTGAAATAACAGTTGTATTTTGTGACTTTGTGAGTAATGCGAGATCTGGACCTATAATACTCCGTTTCATTTCCACCTCATGTCCCTAGTGTCTTTGTGGAGCCTGGTAGAAATGGGCTGATGCAGTGTTTTTGCTCAGCTGGGTACAATCATTATTCTGTATATTGTGAAATCCTCTTTCTGAGCATCTGAAGTGTACATGGAGAAGTTAACAGGTGATCTTTTGAAACCATTTTAAGACTGAATGAAATTCAGAATGTTGTGTGTATGGTATTTTCTGTATTTCCTTTATATATTAAGTCTTGCTGCTCTGTTAAAAGTCAAAGTGTAGAGTGTTTTAAGAGATGTTGATTCAGTTCCTGACTGCCTCACTATGTATCTTTAAAGTTTGATCGATTGTCTAGAATTTCACACAAGTGAACGACTAGTTTAGATAATAATTCACTTTCGGTAGGGTTTGCCTCACAATGTTATGGTCCTTTAGAAATTCAGTATCTCTGGGTTTTTCCTATTTTAGAAGATGTATGGCCAAGATTCAGGTAAAATTACTCTTTGCATATGATCAAAAAAGCTTTGCAGTGAATGACACTAATTCAAATGTGAAGCTGTTAGAAGGTTTCACATTTGTTGTGTCAAATTCTGACTTATTCCACTCACTCTGATTTACTCTTTATTCCTTTCATAGGTGCCTATCTTGTGCCATACTTAATCTTGCTACTAATAGTAGGGATTCCACTCTTTTTCTTGGAGCTTGCTGTGGGGCAGAGGATCCGCCGAGGGAGTATTGGTGTATGGAATTATATCAGCCCCAAACTCGGAGGAATTGGATTTGCAAGCTGTGTAGTAAGTTTTTAACATTAATTGTGTTTTGTTTTCAGGCTTTCTGTTTTGATGCAGGGAAAGACCACTGATGTGTACTTGAGCAGCAAGGTCTGTTTACAAGGTTTTGGAAGATCTTAAAACTTAATACATTAAAAAATGTTGTTATAGACGTGTCTGTAAAACCACTTAACTTGTATTTTGTGATTCTTTCAAAATTAGCAGCTAGGAACAGAGTAGTCTTCTGGAGAAAAAAAGCCTATAAAAGTAGAGGTGTTATATGATAAATACAGAGAAAAGCGAAAATTTAGAAAATGGCAGGTACTTTAATGGGGCAAACCATTCAGTTCTTTTTCTGATTTATTTTAATTAAAATTAGGTTCAGTGGCTGATGTGCTGAAATATGCAGAAGTTCAGTTAGGATTTTTTTCTTATTTTTTTAATTTGCAAATGTAGTTACATTTATCAACCTTTTTATCTGTCTTTTTTATAGGTGTGTTTCTTTGTGGCCCTGTACTACAATGTCATTATTGGATGGAGTCTGTTTTACTTTTCCCAGTCTTTTCAGCATCCATTACCATGGGACCAGTGTCCTTTAGTTAAAAATACATCTCATACCTGTAAGTCTATACTAATGTTCTTAAAATTAAAACCAAAAGGAGAAAAAAACCCCACAATTCAAAGAGATACTTATGGGGAAAAAAAAAAAAGAGTGTTGCATGCAAAGCTGGTTTTCCATCTTAATATGATGTCACATTATTAAATAATAAAAAATGCAATGAAAAACCCCAATTTAAGATAAATATACTGTATTTTGAAAGGAACATTACTGTCAACAGCTTTTTAAAGAGTAATGAAATAAAGAGAGTGCTACTTAGTGTGTTGCAGGGAAAAAAAAAAGAGTTCTGATTACTCTCTTCCTGATATTCATACTGCTTTTTATGTTTACTTGCTGAAAAACAAAGGTGGAAGGATATTTCTACACTTCAATTGGTAGGATACTTCCTGGAGAAAAGCAAAAAGTGTTGCATTACTAACAAAGCAGAAAATTGAATACTATAAACTTCAATGAAATGCATGTGGTGAAAGCATGGTTTGCGTTGTAAACTAGTGGAATTGAGATAATTGGTCATTGGTTTGCTACTATAATGAGATGATCTTACATGGACATATTATACAACAGCATTAGAAGCTCCTTATCCCTTGGTTTTGGTTATCGTAACAGTTACACACTTTGCATTATCCTTGCTATTGAAAAACAAAATGCTTATTTTAATTTCAGATTTTATTTTTTTTTTTAGATTACCTTTAATTGGTTTTTTGTTTGCTTGGGTTTTTTTACTGCTTCAATAAAGAACATAACCAGGGACATTTAAAAAGTTGTATGACATTTTTATAGTGTCTTTGCTGGAGTTCCTTGCTTCAGTTGTTTGAAATAATCAGTATTTGTGAATGTTGGCACATAGTCGAATAGACTGTGTTCCACAAGCTGTTGTCTATTAATCAAGCCATAGTGGTTGTTCATATACTCTTACCCTAAGAGTTAAGAGTAATCTGCATAAGTAATAAGATACAGTGTGTCAGCCTAACTTCAGCAGAGGTCATCTGAACTATGCTTACACAAAGTATTACATGTGATAAATTCCTATAATTTTTGACAGTTTATTTCAGTGAAGATCTGAAACCTGTGTTAGGTTTCTTCAAATGAATGTATCTTTCCCTTCTTTTCATTAATTACCTTGACTCAGGAGAATAAAAAAACCCCACTTCTGTAATGCACACAGCAACTTTCATTTATCATTACTGTGTAGGAGCCATTTTTTCATCACTTAGGTGATGATGATGTAATTGTTTGTAATAGTAATTAATTGCTTGTTGATTTGAGTGTCATATCAAAGCAGACACAAGCAAGAATTTATTTTCAAAATGGTGTTCAATTTCAGAAAGATACTTTTCATAGGGTATACGTCACAGTATCATACATAGGTAATATAATGTGTGATAAAGAAAACGTATGTCTTCATCTAGGCCTGCCTGCTATTTAGTAATTAAGTGAAAAATTCTGCCTAGGACTCTGCTTGACCATATGCAAAGAAACACCTTATCCCAAAAGGGTGTTTTAGAAAGATCTACACAGAACCTTTCTCCAACAGCAATCGCTTTGTCTTTTAGACAACATCTTAAGACCATTTGAGTTTAGTTTCTCAGGAAATTATGGTGGCACAATTACAAATATTAAGAATTGGTAAAACACTGTTATGAAATGTTGGGAAAATACTTTTGTTCTGAGCCCCATTCTTCACTTGCTAACATCTCTTGACAGTTGTGGAGCCAGAGTGTGAAAAAAGTTCTGCAACCACTTACTACTGGTACAGAGAAGCACTGAATATTTCGAGCTCTCTGTCAGAAAGTGGAGGTTTAAACTGGAAGATGACTATCTGCTTGCTGGCTGCCTGGGTCATGGTATGCCTAGCCATGATCAAAGGCATTCAGTCCTCAGGCAAAGTGAGTATACTGTTTACTTAAATGACAGTATTTTACTTTGAAACATTTCATGACATTTTTGTTCACCACACCTTCTGTTTACTCTCTCCTGCAAACTGTAGGAGCAGGTTAGAAGCTGTAACTCACTCCAGTAGTTGTATAATCTCAGGTAGAGGAATGTTGGTAGTTGAGCATTAAAATTGTAGTAATTTTAGTGGGAATTGTAGTAATTTAGTGGGAGTTGAGAGCTCAAGAGCAATTTCTGTTCCCATCACCATAACTGTTACTCATAACTGTACCTCAGCTTTATTGTGCAGCGTTAAGTCTGCATGCTTCTAAATGTCTCTAAATGTCTGCAGAATTAGGTTCCCATGTATACTCACATTATGTTTGCAGTGCACGCAGGTCCTCAAAAGTCCTTGCCATTTTTGTTACTGTCATTGGTACGTATGCTTCTGTCGTTAACACAGCTGCTTTTTAGGATTCTGGATTGTTTCTTTTGACTAATGACTGCCATCCCGTTGCATCAGAGTACAACACCCTGTCTTCTTTCCTTACTATGCAGCCAACTGGGATTGGCTAGTGAGTGATATGCTAGCTCCACTGATCTCTGTAGGATTCTAAATGAAAAATAATATGTTGTAATAGCAAATTTTTTTGCTATTAAAAAATTTGGCACTGAGGTGGAAAATTCTGTGACCTCTTTAGTGTATTTCAAATGAAGAACTATCAAGTTTAGCGAGAGAATCATATTACTATAAAGTACAGAATACATTTGCTTTTCAGTGATGGAGAATGAAAGATTGTATTTGATTACTTTTTTTTTGTTGTTGTTGTTTTGGCATTAAGCATTACTTTGTGGTTTGAATCCACTGGTTATGTACATCAATTGACTCTTGTCTTCTCTCCTGAAGACAGAATGAATTTCTATTTGTGCTCCATATCTTTACTATACCATGTACTTGAATCAAAGTGCATTTGTAAAGTGAAACAGTTCTGAAACAATCTACTTCTGTCCTTCTTGTCATCATCTCATTGAATTCACGCTGAACTTCCCTGGAAGCCCAGCTGTTTTCAGTTAGTCAACACAATGACAACCGTATTGTTTTAATAGAGAATTTATTTTACAGTTGTGATTTTGCTTTCTTCTGCAGAGACAAGGGGAATGGGAAGTTTCCCT